TAAGATAGAGGGAGAAGTGTTATTTTTATTCTGTCTACTCCACACAGAGTAATTCAGCTCCTACTACAAACAAGCACGGTGACAGGTGATAGGATATGACACAGAATGGAGAGGCATGAAGACTACCTGAGATACAGTGTGATAGTGCTCTCTCCGGGGACATAGAGGGGGCTACCTGAACATGCAGAAGGGACATATACCCCAGCTCTGGTACTATAGGAACAGTTTCTACAGAAAGTGAAGTCTGAACTTAGACCAAAGGATGAAAAGACTTAGCCAGTCAAAGGGAGGTGGTGAGAGCAGTGTTACAGGAAGAAAGAACAGTGTGGACACAGGTAGGAAAGAGTAACGTGTGGGTCAAGGACCTAGATATTCCCTGTGACCAGGCATTAAGTGCAGGATAGGAAAAGTGGCAAGAAATACAACTTTTCTTTCCACTTAATGCTAAATACAGATGTCAGATCATGAAGAGCATTGTAAGCCATGATAAGGAATTGGGATTTGTATTCTATGGACAATGAGGATCATTAAAGGGTTTTAAGCAATTTTATCAGACTTGCATTTAGGAGGATCGCTCTGGTTGTATCATAGAAAATCAATTAGACAGCGCAAGGCTGAAGCAAGAGAAGAGACTATTCCAGTAATTCAAATGTTAGATTATGCTGGTGTGACTGAGTAGAGGCAGTAGAGTGAAAAATGAGAAATAAGAGAAGACAAGGATGGAATCCAAAATAATCCCAGGTTTCCTACTTGAGCAGCTGGAAAGACAATGTGCCATTTTGTGAACTAGACCATGCCAGGTTGGTCTGAGGGCACAATTCAGGATTTGTCTACCAGTTGCGGCTCCCAGCCCATATATGAATAGCCCACAACACTTGACACACCACTTTCAGAGGAAGAGGTCAAAAGCACAAATATGATTCATTTGCTAAGAAGATCTTTAATGTTTCTGAAGTTCCCACTGTGGTAGAGAGAAGAGATGAAACTGAAAAAAAAGGACCAGCATACTGACCAAGTGGTTAAGTTTATGGTTCGATTCTATGGGTCTCACACAAGACAAAGGATACTTGTTGGAAACAGCCTTAGACACACAGCCAAAAGGGCACGCAGGCAAGGCCACAGAGGAAAGCTAAGGTGACCCTGGAGAGATCATGTGAACACAACGTATCCAAGGACCAGAGATAAGATTGAAATGGGTTGAGGGCTGGGAACAAAAGGTAGAAAGGAGTGGGAGAACACCAGAGTATCAAACAATGTGCAGACAATGGTTAAGACAATGTCAAATGAAAACAGGCTGGGAACAAGGAAAGGGTGGGAAAGGTAACTCCAATGCAATTACCATAGAGTGGGTGTTCCTGTCCTGGTATTTATGGGTTTGTGGATCGTGGATAGGTCAGGAAAATATACAGGCCNGTTCTCATTCTACATAAATAGATATTTTAAGGTGATTTTCAGGTAAGATTACAAAGTGGTTGACATATGTTATCTCACACATTGCTCAGAACTCTTTGAAGGTATTATCATGCATATTTACAAATGTGGTAAGAGAAGCTTGTAAAGGTTAAGCGACTTGCCTAAGATCATAGAGCAAATAAAATGAGTATGAATTTTAGTCTATGTAGTCTAAGTCAAGGTTTCTTGACCTCAGCACCACTGACATTTTGAGTCAAGTAATTCTTTGTTGTGGGGGCTTTCAAGTGCATTGCAAGATTGAACACTATCTCAGAAAGATAGCAAAAAATGGAAAGTGAATTATAAAATTTTTAACTCCAAAATTATTTCACTAAGGGAATGGCTCTATCAAATGAAATGCTTCTTTGAAGCCAAAAAGTTTAAAAGTGCAGAGTAAGGGGTTTGTAGATGCCAACTAACCCAATGCAAGTTTAATGACAGGTACATACAAAACAAAAAGCTGTGTACATTAAAATTTACAAAGTCGTGGATCTTGATCTAAAGAATCCGGAAGCAAAACAGCTTCCTTTCCATGAAAACACTTACCTGGTTTTAACCTTAAGGATAATGTAATGTTATATTTTACAATACACAGTAAATATAAAGAAATTCTATAGCTGGTAAACTGAAAAGCATTTTTTTCTTGGCTATCCTCACACACAGAATCAACAGTTTATGAATAATAATTACTATTCAAACAGAATACGAAAACATTAAACAAATGTGTTATACAGGTAGCAATAAAGTTTGTAATTTATTTTATCAAATAACATTAACTTTTACCTTAATATGGAACTATATAATTCTATTTCTCATGCAGGTATGTTAAGCTAAAACTAAGCTAAATCAGAAAATTAATTTTGAAATTTGAAAAAATTAAGAATGAAAAAACTTACTTCCAGTTAATTTTTAAAAAATTAACTTGTATATGAAAAGCAAAAATACAGGGCTACATCAAAAACTTCATGGAAACATTTGTATTGTCTTTTAATTTTTTTTTTTATAAACTTTGTGAATTACCCTTGTATACCTGAATAATGACAACTGCATATTAACTACCAAAAAAATGAATAAAAAATCTAATAATAGGTAAAGCTGTTTTAAAAAATAGTAGATTTCTAAGTATGGATGTGGATACAAAACCTAAAAAATATTTATATCTTACTGCTTAGCAAATCGCCTGAGAATCAAATAGTATCTTCTTACCTTAATAACATTTCCTTTATTTTGTGACATCATGTGTGATTGATTACCCAATTTTCCCCATTTTCCAGATTTCCAGTGATATCCAGTTGACCTTCAATATATATAAACAAGACAAAATGTAATTACTAAATACATTTCTCCTTTTAATAAAAACAAATATATTTCCCCTGTTTCACAAAATGGAAATTGCACTGCTAACATTTAACAAACCAGCACAAAATGAAAACAAAATATCAATAATGCCCAATATCCTCAGTAATTTTAAAATATAGCTCCATCATATTTGTGATGTTTGTGGAAAAACAAACTGAAATGTCCAAATACAAATGAAAAGCTCCCTTATTTTTTTTGACACTTACGATGACTAAAGATAGCTTTACTGATTTATAGGAAACTTTATAGGATGTCATGTAGTTTTAAAAGCTAAGTGTCCACAAATGTAAAGAGGAAACAGAAGCAAAACTGTACCCAGAAATATTGAGCAGATCTACCAAGTGATGAATTCCTTATTAAGATCACAAATGAGTTCCCACATTGCAAAGAAGGCAAAGTTTAGTTTAACAGTTTTCAAAGCACTTTGATTTGAGTCTCACAAAATCTTTTTGAAGTCACCAGGGCAGGCAGCCCAACTCCCATTTTAAAAATAATGAGACGACAATTTATCCACTGTCACACAAATGATGAATAATAAAGCCAAGATTAGAATATTGGACTTCTGCATTCCTGACCAGTGAGTGGCAGGTTCTCATGCTGGCTACAACATTTACTATCTGTGTGACCTTAGAAAAGAACGTAACGATTTTGAAAACTCACTCAAGCTTTAGAATGTTTTAAAAACATCTAGAAAATGTTCCACAGCTAAAATATTCCACAGCTAAGGAAACTGCCATGGGCTGATTTCAGGAACTCTGATTCCCAGAGTCTGAATACTATGACAAATTGAGAAGTTCAAACTAAGTCCAAATCAGTGAAGGTAAAAGAACTGGCCACTGAATCATTAAAAGAAAAGCAGCAAGACATCCAACAAACTTTGTCATTTGGAATGATGTACATGAGATACCCTGATTAAACCAATGCTCTGGTTATTAGAGAGGGCATGTGTATGTGTCATGCATATTTCTTAAAGAATTGGACTGTAAAGATAAATACTACTGAGACCTTAATAAACATATCTGAATTTTCTTTAATGGTTTGGAAGATACTTCATAGGTATTTGATGGTCATTATTTTTAGAACCACATCGAAGTAAATTTAATATACAAAGAGTTTGATAATATTTAGCTCCATGCACTTTTAGAAACATGCACTTTCATACTCTGTAGGAGAAGGTTATAAACTTTTAAAGCCTGTTTGGAAGACAATTCCTCAGTGTCCACCACACTGCAAAATGTACATACACTTAGACCTAAAATTTCAGAGGTAGGAATTTATCCCACAGATACCCTTGCACATGTAAGCAAAATTACGTGTAAAAGCATGTTCACAGCAGTATTTGTAGTCACAGAATACTGGAAACTTACTAAAGATCTGAAAATTAAATGCTATTATATCCACACAAAGAAATACCATGCAGTCACTGAGAGAATGAGATAGATCAATGTGTGCTGTTGTGACAACAGCACTGTATATTAAGTAAAATATTGGGATATGAATTAATTCTCCTGTTTTTATAGATGACCTCATTTGCAAAACCATAAGAGAAAAGACACATAAAATACACACAGACACAACATACACACACATTTATACACATGTACGATAGACTCGCACAAAGATGACATTTGTGGGGGAATAATTTTTAGTAATACAAGTAGTGCTAGAAAATGGGCTGGGAGTTGGCCTTGAGCTAGAAAGACATAATTTCCATCAAGTAACTATCAGTTCTATTTGACTTCTATCGTCTTTATGTTTTAGTTTTATAATAAACAACAGTCTCAGTAAAATTAGTACAAATATACAAGCATAATATTAAAAACTTCTCATTAATAAAATTTCAGCTAACTAGCATTTGCTAAAAATATTTCAAACATACTTGAGGGTCTAAATGATTCTGATACATGGACATGTGATGGAGTTTGGATGTGTTGTCCCCTCCAAAACTCACGTGGAATTTTGATCTCCAATGTGGCAGTGTTGGAAACTGATTGAGTCACAGGGGCCGATCCCTTATGAATGGATTAATGCTCTCTCTGGGGGAGGGGGATTAATGAGTGAGTTCTCGCTCTATTAGTTCCTGGGAGAGCTCGTTGCTTAAAATAACCCTGGCACCTTCTCTCTCTCTCTTGCTTCCTCTCACCATGGGATCTGCTTGTACCCGCCGCCAGCTCCCTGCCACTTTCCACCATGAGAAGAAGCAGTCTGAGGCCCATGCCAGATGCAGCTGTCCCAGAATCGTAAGCCAAATAAACCTCTTCCCTTTATAAATTACCCAGCCTCAGGTATTTCTGTTATAGCAACACAAAATGGACTAAAACAACATGAAAACTCCTACACTCAAAAACCTTCTAATAAATAAAAATTACCCAAAACATAAACCAGTTTTCATTTGCTACTGATGGCAATCGTATGAGAGCAAAGTTTGCACTGCTGTCCTAAACATTCCAGACCATAAATCGCTGAGAAGCCTAATGTAAGAAGAGAAACAAGAAACAATAAGACCAAATGAAGTTCAGGAGAAACAAAATTAATGGTAATTTTAAAAAGTAACATGCCTTACATAAGTGGAACAAAAAGCAAAAAATAGAGGGAATTTAATATTGTTTGTTCATCAGAGAAAGCCAGAAATTATCCATCAACTAAACATTTTTACTGGAATGAAGATAGCATATAACATAGTTCAGTTTACTCCTATAGAATTCTCTAAAAATTTTACCTACTCTTTTTCTTCCTTTTCTTTGTTCCTTGTTGATCTGAATTCTTGTAGTTTCTTTTCCATCTCTTGGTTTTCTAACTCTAATTGTACTTTCTCCATTCGCAGCTCTTGAGCACTTCTTAAGACATGAATTAAATGTAGAATTTTCATTTGGGGTAAAAAAAAGGCAAAATAATTTTATATAATATTTTGCTCTTAAGTTAAAATTATTACTAATAAACAAATGATGAAATATTTCAACTATTCCTTTGTAGTTCCCTGAAATATGGTTTCTAAAGTTAGCATCAGCCTTCCATTAATACTCTCCTTAAGCAAGGTATCATCTTAGACTTTTGTTTTTCCAGTTACATTGCTAGAGGTTTGAAATCACAATTCACTTAACACATAAGCCATCTCTTTATACATGCACCAATATCTATGTCACACAAAAAGAAAACAAAAGAAAAATTATTATTTTTTAATTTTCACACCATCTTGCCTCTAACAACATTCAAGTAATTTGAAGCACAGTATTTAAAACAACATTTTTTCTCTACAGGCAGATTATGCATTTTTGCTGAACTGATCATCTTGGAAACCTTAAATAAATCTCAACCTATATGTCATGTGTGTATAATGGGGAGGGGGTTGTAGAAGAGAACCTGGTTAGGGCCTATTAGAAAGAAAGCCTCTATTAAGGGCTTAGGTATAGGAGATATTGGTACCTGTGCAAAGATTTTGATAATAATATCTGAAGCTCATCATGCTTTAAAAAAAGCCACTTTCTTCATTTTACACTTCTGGTCTTTTATTGCCATTAGTTACTGAATCTCTCTTTCACAGATCTAATTCAACCTAATTCTCCAGTTTTTATTATCTATCATGAGTTTACATTTCTTCCTTCCTTATTACATTAGTGTTTTATTATAATCAAGTAGTGTGGTCACTCATGCATGCTATGGCATGAAACCAAACTAAAGAATAATGGTCATCAGAGAAGGGAGCTAATTTACAGAGGTGATGAGTGGTCGCCAAAGAGCAAGTGGGCCAAGGATATGTCTCTAAGTGGATGCAATCCAGGGAGATATCCAGAGAGTGATAGAAGTCAAAGGCTATCCAGAAGGTTCAAAGAAGCTGGCTAAGATAGAGGGAGAAGTGTTATTTTTATTCTGTCTACTCCACACAGAGTAATTCAGCTCCTACTACAAACAAGCACGGTGACAGGTGATAGGATATGAGACAGAATGGAGAGGCATGAAGACTACCTGAGATACAGTGTGATAGTGCTCTCTCCGGGGACATAGAGGGGGCTACCTGAACATGCAGAAGGGACATATACCCCAGCTCTGGTACTATAGGAACAGTTTCTACAGAAAGTGAAGTCTGAACTTAGACCAAAGGATGAAAAGACTTAGCCAGTCAAAGGGAGGTGGTGAGAGCAGTGTTACAGGAAGAAAGAACAGTGTGGACACAGGTAGGAAAGAGTAACGTGTGGGTCAAGGACCTAGATATTCCCTGTGACCAGGCATTAAGTGCAGGATAGGAAAAGTGGCAAGAAATACAACTTTTCTTTCCACTTAATGCTAAATACAGATGTCAGATCATGAAGAGCATTGTAAGCCATGATAAGGAATTGGGATTTGTATTCTATGGACAATGAGGATCATTAAAGGGTTTTAAGCAATTTTATCAGACTTGCATTTAGGAGGATCGCTCTGGTTGTATCATAGAAAATCAATTAGACAGCGCAAGGCTGAAGCAAGAGAAGAGACTATTCCAGTAATTCAAATGTTAGATTATGCTGGTGTGACTGAGTAGAGGCAGTAGAGTGAAAAATGAGAAATAAGAGAAGACAAGGATGGAATCCAAAATAATCCCAGGTTTCCTACTTGAGCAGCTGGAAAGACAATGTGCCATTTTGTGAACTAGACCATGCCAGGTTGGTCTGAGGGCACAATTCAGGATTTGTCTACCAGTTGCGGCTCCCAGCCCATATATGAATAGCCCACAACACTTGACACACCACTTTCAGAAGAAGAGGTCAAAAGCACAAATATGATTCATTTGCTAAGAAGATCTTTAATGTTTCTGAAGTTCCCACTGTGGTAGAGAGAAGAGATGAAACTGAAAAAAAAGGACCGGCATACTGACCAAGTGGTTAAGTTTATGGTTCGATTCTATGGGTCTCACACAAGACAAAGGATACTTGTTGGAAACAGCCTTAGACACACAGCCAAAAGGGCACGCAGGCAAGGCCACAGAGGAAAGCTAAGGTGACCCTGGAGAGATCATGTGAACACAACGTATCCAAGGACCAGAGATAAGATTGAAATGGGTTGAGGGCTGGGAACAAAAGGTAGAAAGGAGTGGGAGAACACCAGAGTATCAAACAATGTGCAGACAATAGTTAAGACAATGTCAAATGAAAACAGGCTGGGAACAAGGAAAGGGTGGGAAAGGTAACTCCAATGCAATTACCATAGAGTGGGTGTTCCTGTCCTGGTATTTATGGGTTTGTGGATCGTGGATAGGTCAGGAAAATATACAGGCCAGGGAGAAGTGATTCCCCCTCATTTCCAAGATAAGCTGCAAACTTCTTACCATGGCACACAAGTTAGCTATCATCTAGACCCTGCCCTTCTTTCCAACTTTATTCCTAGCCGATTGCATATGTGTGAAAAGCCTCTAAACCATACGGTTTCTGTGCCTTTGCACAAGTTTCACCCAGTAACTATCCAACTAACTGTATCTCTCAGGCAAATCTTGAATACCTCCTCACCCCCTGCCCTAGTAGTTTGGGCTAAGTTCTCCTAGGCCCTGTGTTTACATATCACACCACACATCCTCCTATGCTGCTGCTATGGGTTAAATGTGTCCCCCAAAAGTTCATGTATTGGAAACTTAATCTCCAGTGTAATAGTGTTAAGAGGGTGGGAAATCCTATTATGGTAATTGAAATGTGGGGCCTCTACGAGGTAATTAGATTGCAAAGACTATACCCTTGTGAATGGCTTGAACCATTCTTGGAGTCATGAGCATGGTTCTGATGGCTTTAAAAGGAGAACAAGTGAGCAGGTTAGTTCTCTCTTGCTCAGCCCATTCTCACCATGTGATACCCTGAGTTGCTGTAGAAGGCCCTCACCAGATGTGTTTCCTGGACTTTGGACTTCCCAGCCTCTGAAACTACAAGAAATACATTTTATTTCTTTATAAATTACCCAGTTTCAAATATTCTGTTATAAGCAACAGATACAGAGTAATTGTCAATGCCATTTTACTTATTCACATGCCCTGCAAACTGCCTGAGGGAAAGGACTGGGACTTCCTGCTTTTGTATCCACCATTCCCTAGCATGATGTGAAGAAAATGTGTACTTAATACATGTTTGTTAGATGAATGTTTATAGGTATAGACACATATTTTGAAACATATAACTGAAATCAAATAATGCATGTCCCTTTCTGTAGAGAGCACCAACATTTATAAAGCAAATGCATTTCACAGGGCCTGTTTTCCAAAGCGCTGTGGTCTAAGATTTAGCTTAACCTTTTGGAATTACATATAGAAATGTTAACCTTGCAAAAGACAGCAAACTTTCCTCAGGCTAAAGTCTTTCTAACACAGCAAAGTTGCTGGCTCAAGGACAGATGTNATGCCAGGTTGGTCTGAGGGCACAATTCAGGATTTGTCTACCAGTTGCGGCTCCCAGCCCAAATATGAATAGCCCACAACACTTGACACACCACTTTCAGAAGAAGAGGTCAAAAGCACAAATATGATTCATTTGCTAAGAAGATCTTTAATGTTTCTGAAGTTCCCACTGTGGTAGAGAGAAGAGATGAAACTGAAAAAAAAGGACCGGCATACTGACCAAGTGGTTAAGTTTATGGTTCGATTCTATGGGTCTCACACAAGACAAAGGATACTTGTTGGAAACAGCCTTAGACACACAGCCAAAAGGGCACGCAGGCAAGGCCACAGAGGAAAGCTAAGGTGACCCTGGAGAGATCATGTGAACACAACGTATCCAAGGACCAGAGATAAGATTGAAATGGGTTGAGGGCTGGGAACAAAAGGTAGAAAGGAGTGGGAGAACACCAGAGTATCAAACAATGTGCAGACAATGGTTAAGACAATGTCAAATGAAAACAGGCTGGGAACAAGGAAAGGGTGGGAAAGGTAACTCCAATGCAATTACCATAGAGTGGGTGTTCCTGTCCTGGTATTTATGGGTTTGTGGATCATGGATAGGTCAGGAAAATATACAGGCCAGGGAGAAGTGATTCCCCCTCATTTCCAAGATAAGCTGCAAACTTCTTACCATGGCACACAAGTTAGCTATCATCTAGACCCTGCCCTCCTTTCCAACTTTATTCCTAGCCGATTGCATATGTGTGAAAAGCCTCTAAACCATACGGTTTCTGTGCCTTTGCACAAGTTTCACCCAGTAACTATCCAACTAACTGTATCTCTCAGGCAAATCTTGAATACCTCCTCACCCCTGCCCTAGTAGTTTGGGCTAAGTTCTCCTAGGTCCTGTATTTACATATCACACCACACATCCTCCTATGCTGTTGCTATGGGTTAAATGTGTCCCCCAAAAGTTCATGTATTGGAAACTTAATCTCCAGGGTAATAGTGTTAAGAGGGTGGGAAATCCTATTATGGTAATTGAAATGTGGGGCCTCTACGAGGTAATTAGATTGCAAAGACTATACCCTTGTGAATGGATTGAACCATTCTTGGAGTCACGAGTGTGGTTCTGATGGCTTTAAAAGGAGAACAAGTGAGCAGGTTAGTTCTCTCTTGCTCAGCCCATTCTCACCATGTGATACCCTGAGTTGCTGTAGAAGGCCCTCACCAGATGTGTTTCCTGGACTTTGGACTTCCCAGCCTCTGAAACTGCAAGAAATACATTTTATTTCTTTATAAATTACCCAGTTTCAAATATTCTGTTATAAGCAACAGATACAGAGTAATTGTCAATGTCATTTTACTTATTCACATGCCCTGCAAACTGCCTGAGGGAAAGGACTGAGTCTCTACTTTTGTATCCACCATTCCCTAGCATGATGTGAAGAACATGTGTACGTAATACATGTTTGTTAGAAGAATGTTTATAGGTATAG